CATATAACCTGAACAATCGGAATCAAGTGCTTGTATGGAAAACTCTTTCATCTGACAAGATATCTTCACGAAATTCGGTATGGGTTTTTACTAAAAAAAGTTATGCAATTTCCAAAAAATTGTTCAGACCGGGCTACTTTAGCATATAGCTGCAATATAAACTGAACGATCGGAATCAAATACTTGCATGGAAAACTTTTTCATTTGACGAGATATGTTCACGAAATTTGGTATAGGTTAGTGTCTAAGGCAGTAATGTAATCTCCGACCAAATTGCTCAGATCGGATTACTGTATCATATAGCTGCCATATAAACTGAACGCTCGGAATCAAGTTCTTATATGGAAAACTTTTTCATTTGACGAGATATCTTCACGAAATTCGGTGCTGGTTTTTGCTAAAAAAAGCTGTGCAATCTCAAAAGAAATTATTCAGATCGGATTACTTTAGCATATAGCTGCCATATAAACTGAACGATCGCAATCAAATACTTGCATGGAAAACTCTTTAATTTGAAGAGATATCTTCACGAAATTTGGCATAGGTTGTTGGTAGAAGAAGTATTGCAATATCCAAAAAAATTGTACAGATCGGATCACTATAGCATATATCTGCCAGACACACTGAACGATCGGAATCAAGTGCTTGTATGGAAAAATTGTTCATTAGATAAGATATCTTCACAAAATCCGGCATGGATTTCTCTCAATGGCATATAGCTGCCATACAGACTGACAATCTAAATTAAGTTCTTATATGATACAAATTGTTTACGACAAGTTATCTTCACGACATTTGGCATGTATTATTATTTAAGGCATTCATTTAATCTCCGATGAGATTTCAAAGATCGGATTACTGTATCATATAGCTGCCATATAACCTGAACAATCGGAATCAAGTGCTTGTATGGAAAACTCTTTCATCTGACAAGATATCTTCACGAAATTCGGTATGGGTTTTTACTAAAAAAGTTATGCAATTTCCAAAAAATTTTTCAGATCGGGCTACTTTAGCATATAGCTGCAATATAAACTGTACGATCGGAATCAAATACTTGCATGGAAAACTTTTTCATTTGACGAGATATCTTCACGAAATTCGGTACTGGTTTTTGCTAAAAAAAGCTGTGCAATCTTAAAAGAAATTGTTCAGATCGGATCACTATAGCATATATCTGCCAGACACACTGAACGATCGGAATCAAGTGCTTGCATGGAAAAATTGTTCATTAGATAAGATATCTTCACGAAATCCGGCATGGATTTCTCTCAATGGCATATAGCTGCCATACAGACTTACAATCTAAATTAAGTTCTTATATGATAAAAATTGTTTACGACAAGTTATCTTCACGAAATATGGCATGGATGATGATTGTCAAAGATATCGCTACAATCTTCGAACGAATTGTTCATATCAGACCACAGCTATCATAGAAACGGACCGATCAAAATAAATTTTTGTATGGAAGTTTTTAGATGAATTATTGCTTAAGATATGACTTCAAACGAATTGTTAAGATCGGATAGTTTCTGTCATAGAAACTGACCGATCAAAATCAAGTTCTTGTATGGGCAATTTTTTTATATGACAAAATATCTTCACAAAGTTTGGCATGACTTACTTTTTTCATTAAATAGAGAACCTATTTTCTCCGAAATGTAATATAGCTTGTAATAGAAAATTAAACCCTTAAATTTTTGCTATATGGTAAATGGTGAGTAACATAACTAATCAATCTTCTCCAATATATTTACATTGTAATCAGATTTAACCACTTTACAAAAAATATATTATAAATAAATCAAATTAATTAATAATTTATACTGTCCAATTTGAGCTTTCAATAAAATTTTTCTTATATCTGCCAAA